TATTTCATTCAAATATTTATAATTTCTTTTCGAAAAAATAAAAAATAATAAATTATTATAATTAAAATATAAAAAATTATTCGAAATATTTTTTATTATTTTTGTTGAAAAATTATATAGTATTGAAATCGAATTTTTCTAAAAATTCTAATATATAATATTTTTCCCATACAAAATAAGCGAATTTTCATAAAAATTTAGCATTTTCAACTTTAACTTCTTCAAAATTTATTTAAAAAATTAGTAAAAAATATTCTATTCATTTTTTTATAAAATTTAAATAATTGAATAATATTTTCTAAAAGAATTTCCAATTTTATCTATTATTATGATAAATAAACTAGGATATGAAAAGTTGAATAATCTTATATTTTAACTAGAAAAGCGTTACATGTACAGTGAGCAGGGGCCAGAACTCTTACATAATCTGAACCAGTACAGTTATCAACACGCAGTTTTCTATTGACTCTTCGCATTCGTTGCTGCCAAAAGTCGGTGAAACTTCACGCATTGTAATGAGGCGCAGGCAAAGTACCTACAATTATCAGTATGAGAGCAAAGAACGATCGTGGAAGGAGAAAATATTGATGGTTCGAACGCTGATGAGAGTGTCAACCATAATTCAACCAAAATTCGGATTCGCATTTTCTTTGTACTGCAGGGACCTGAAAGTCAATTGGGCATGACCGAGGTACGATGTGACCTCACAAGCATTTGGCCCTCAATGACACTCAAGGTGTGATTCGAAACCAAAAAAATCTGCAGGTGGTCCCCTCTGTGACGAATCAACTTATTTGACATATACACACTCTTGAAACGAATTGATACGTAGTTTGTCACCACTCGAGTAGCTATAGTGCTGTGACAACTCAACATACGCGAGGTAGACGTCAGGGAAACTAAAACTAGTTATTCCCCTTGCTTTAAGAGCCTCGAGTCTTTCGACATAAATTCTATAAAGATTTCAAACAGTTCTTGAAAGTAAGCGGGCGCTGGCCCATCTCTATTGTGAGGCATAAGAGGCATAGTGAAATCGCGCAACTCGTCTCTACTTGTAAGGATTAAAAAAAACTTGATCGCCAATTGCAAAAATGGCATTCGGGTTAGTTGTTCTGGTACATAATGAGTTGTACTGAATTCTGATGCTGATGTTCTACTTGGCGAGTTAATAAAGCTATGATGTAGTGTAGATCTCAATAATTAGCTGCTTTGTTCGTCGCTAAAGATAAACAAACTAATAAACTAGAGAGGTGGAGACGCGACGCGCTCAACCATCTACCACCACAATATCTGATACCACCACGAAAAGTTTCACGAAATTCAATAAACGGCCTTCTACAGGTTGGAATATTCAATTTCAGTAATAAGTAATCCCTTAATAACCTGTCGAAATGCCACGCCCAAAACGCACAAAAGTCACTCGTCCTCCTGCAACTGCGCCTGCCCCGCGCGTCATAGAATCAGCAGAACTAGTCGAATCGGAATCTTTACCAGCGGCAGCTCCAACGGCGCGTCCTTTCAACGATCTATATGATGTTAGTGATGGAGAGCTTGAGAAATCTACGAGTGCGACAAAGTTGGCAAAAGGAAAGTCTGTTGCAACACGAAGCAGTGGTCGCAATGCATCGCGCAACATCGAGAATACAGAGTCTAAGGAAGCTGCCAATACTACAAAGCCAAAGAATGCGCCAGAATTAGAATCAGATGATGATACGCGGATATCTAGTAGTCCAGAAATTGAAGCTGGGAGAAGAGGTCGACGTACATCTGCTATGGACAATTCTGTACTTGCGATTGGTAATTTTCGACGGAGGGCGCGCGAACCAAGTATTTTAGGACAACAAACAACACGAGCTCGATCAAGCAGTGTAGACTCGGACTTGGCAGAAGAGAACGGTCTTACAAGTGTTGGCAAGAGGAACACATCTGGGCTGGGAATGGGAACATTTAGAGGACGCGCTGGATCTAGGAGACCAAGTAGTGTGGGTGGAGACAGGCCAGAAATCGGATCTGTATTGCGACTTGGCAATTTCAAAAGAAGAGCTCGAGAACCTAGTATTTTGGGAACCGCGCGGAAACCAGAACAAGCAAGACCTACATTCGATTCCGATTCTGATTCCGATGGCTTTGCGCCCGAAGACGAATCAACACCTTTAAATTTTGCCAAGGGAAGAGCTGTGCCTTCATCGTCGAGTTCAAGAAAGCGAAAACTGTCTAGTGTACAGGTTCCACGTTCACAAGGCGCTACGCAGACGCAGCAGAGCCCTTCTAAATTACTTAAAAACGATTCAGATCCCGAAGACACAATCCCTGCGACCGCGCCGATAGATAGTGATGAAGACGACGAGGAGGACGAGCTACCAGAATTAGAAAAAGAGCCTTCGCCTCAGGATTCGCCATTATCATCAATAGAACGTATTGCGACGCCCGAGCCTATGAGTGAAACTATGGCACCTCCACGTGCTGGAAGTTCCTCTCTTTCGCCCGCTCAATCTTTACCATCGCCTCCGCCGCCTCCTCAACCTACTTTGAATACGCGTCAGGCAGTTACTCGACCTCGACGCATAATAAATCCACGAACTCCACCGCGTGTCTCAAATTCAGAAATGCGCTCCTCTCCTATATCTTCCCCGCCATCACTCACACATTCACCCGATATACCTACACGCTCCACACGGCCTCCGCGTAAAGCTGCACCTCAACCTGCAACTTTATCTACTGCAGCCCTACAAGCCCTACTTCCAAGACGCCGTCAGCGTCATCGATCCGCTCTGGACGTAGACTCCTCTGACAGTGAGGTGGACACTACTGGTCTTGGCGAGCATGATGACGAATTGACCATAACAGTCGCCCCAACTGCCCGTCGTCAAGCTTCTGCTCGCCCTACCATTGGAGCATCTGCTACGTCTTCAAAACTTACACAAAAAGCTAAGGCTGCTGCTAAAGGTAAAGGGAAGAGAACTTACGGAAGAAAGCCAGCACCGGCAGCATCTGATAAAGAAAATGAAATCGATCCAGATGACAGTTTGGCACCTGCCCAAGACGAAAGGCCAGCAGAAGAGCCTCGAAGTGAGAATAGCTCTGAATTGGAGAAAAGGGTAGGAAAAGAATTGAAGAAAGCTGCGAGGAAGTTCAAGGAAGTCGATAAGTGGGAGTTAGAATTCGAAGAATGTGAGGCGAGTAGTGATCAACTTGCTCGGTAGTTATGTTTCACGATTGGCAAAGATATGTGGCGCCAACAGATTTATTTTTACTTGCGAGGAGTGAAATGGAGAGCAAAAGTATAGCGAGGAGTTGGGGTCATGAAATGCAAATGTCTTTACGAGTTTTATCCACAACATCATATTAAAAGCTTACTTGGAAAATCGGAGATTTGGTGGGAAGGGTGCAGTTTCTCTGGAAATACAGCTTCTATCACTGGCCTCTCAGAGTAGATACATATGCCTTGATGGCTGGATACAGGCGGATTTTATGTAACTGCTTGCTTTGGTTTGTAGCTTAGGTAGCTTCCTCTTCTCGTCGCCGTAGATAATACGATACTTGACGCAATGGATACGAATTTTAAATATTCCGTCTATCATTCTGTGATAATTGAACTTGTGATTACATGAATAATAGCAGAGCGATACCAGACCTGAGGTCTACGACTGAACACGTAGAAAACCGAGTACGTGGCTATGAGATGGAATGGTTAATGCGGCACAGTGCACTGCAGAGGCAGCAAATTAAAAGCGTCTTAGAGGCGGGAGGCGCGGCTATATCTGGATCCAGTGATTATTCTGTGTCAGCCGAGACTCATAGGTGATGAAAATTAGAACAAGGTTTAAATTGTGATTGAAATAATCTTGTTACACCAGTCCAAAAAGATGTTTGAAAAACCCCATACTAACATCCTCATGGCCATGAGAATTCTCCACCTGCGATATGCAATGAGTACACTGTACGTTGCGTCGAGTAAGTGACGTTGATCACATGCTCAATCCATTATACTCCGGAAGACCCCTCCATCTATGACCATTCAGTATTGTAAACAAGCACAACTTCCCTTATATTTCTCTCTTATGACCACAGAAGGATGATACGAACCAACTCTTGAGCCTGTGACCGTAACACAAAACATCCATGAAATACACACACAATGCAAGACACAGAAAAATCTCACCCCAAAAATCCTTACCATACCCCTGACTACATCCTCGGCAACTAACAGTTAGTGCCAGGTACCCCTCCCCGGACCCCAATCCTCTTTTATCACCCATGTGATGATTGGATATCAGTGCACGCCGGTTGTTAACTCGAATTGCCGATGTAACCGTATGGTGATACATAGGTACTTGGAGTGCATATGTACCCTGACTGTCTCGCGACTGACAGAAAAAACCGAACACCAATCCCGCAAAATAAACGAAAATTTGAAAATGATTTTTTTTCAAAACTTAATAATAATTTAATTTTATATTTTAAATCTTTTTGAATTAATTTATAGAGATTATAAGTTAATAAATAAATATTATTAAAGATTTGAAAAGATTATATTGAGTTGTTGTTTATATATCAAATTTTGATTGAGGTGAAGATTTTTGGTGTTCGGTTTTTTCTGTCGGTCGCGAGACTGTGTGGATTTTTTGGTTTGGCGGGTATATGCAGGTCCGGCTGGATAAATTGGGGGAGTGCGGCGTGGGTGAATATTTTTTGTGAGATTTGTTGGATTGTTTTGAGGAGGAGGATATGATGAGGTGCTGGAAGGAGAAGGGAAGTGGGATGAGGAGCTAGATGGAAGAAGAGAAAGGAAGTTTAGATTGAAACTTTGTGCATTATTATCTGAATCTACAGATTTTAACTATTTGAATAGCGAGAGAGTTGATATCTTCATCATCTCATCCATCTCATATTTACCCTAAAAATACATCCAGTACATAAATATTTTATAACCACACAGTGATATGTATATCTCATCCAAACCAAACCAAACTCCACATGATCCCCAGATTCCATGACCATCACGAACCCTGAACATACAATTTTGGCATCGACGTTCCTTTCCACGGATACGAAGCCAAATCCGGACACAAAATCTTGAGCTTAGATTGTGGGGGATGAATGGTATAAATTCCACGATCGGTTTTCGTGAACGAGAATTTATTCTTTCCGTTTGAAACTTTGCAGGAGCTGAAGTAGGGGTAGGTAGACTCGAGTTGATGGATTGTGGTTGGAGACTCTGAGTCTGTTTTACTGATTAGTTCGAAACTATCTTAATGGCAGTCAAAGTTCATAAAGAAGAAAAAGGCAAGCTTACCAAATCTGAATCCCAGCTCTGAATTTCCAACCACTTTTTCCGTGCGGAAAACTTGTGTTCCATCTTTCTCGCGTCCGATGAAGTTGACCATGGTATGAGGAGTAGTTTCGCACACAATGTTTGTGATTTTTTGCTCGGGGATTAATGTCCATGTGAAATGTCCTGTCTGGACAAACTCTCGCAGAGGAACGCCCGAGCTTTGAATATCGCAGTGTGCGGATAAGTCAAAAGTTGGGAATCCATAGTAGCTGTACCAGTCTGATCTTGAAGAACTGCGGATGCTGATGTGGCTATATGTGATGTCTTGAGCTAGTTGGGGATTAGTTGGAGTCTGGAAAAGTGTTTTGATAGTGATGACGAACTCTGAACTGTGGTTTCTGGCGCTGTATATTCTTATTAGAATTGGGTTTCTGAAAATGGAAGAAGTAGTGAAACTAACAGCATTTTGATCCTCCAAAAGAAAAGAGACCGATCGGGCGATCGAGAGCCGGCTGTCCATCGGCAGCTCTTCCTAGCCCTGATATTGTGACGTTTGTATCGCAAGCACCATAACTCAGACCGAGGTAAGTGGAGAATTCCAAGAGTTTAGGAATATGCATCTTGTCTATCAGAGGCTCAAAAATGGATGAAGTTGCGTGGAGGTCTTGAAAGAAACGAAAGAAGTTGATGTTGGAAGAAGACAATACTTTTCTGACCGAGCAGGAGAGGCGCAATAATGTAATAATTCTCGAGAACTACTCGTTTCATATTGAAATATTTCATCTCCATTGATTTGATATCAATGACTGTACTACCATTTGGCAACAGTTGGAAGTAATAAGGACCCATGGCCAGAGCCAAACTGTCGGGTTCATATGTCCATATACGGAATGCTAGCGCGAATATCAGCCTTGTAATGTATGGTTCATTAGCCGCCAATGGCAGGATGAAATATACTTTGGGTTGGTTATATGCACAGTAGTATTGTGATAGTGATGTATTATGGTCTCTTGCGTTCGGCAAAATGTTACGGATCGTCATTGCCGATTCATTCTCCACTTTGTCTTGCGGCTATGAGCTTTGAACTTAGGGAGGCCTGGGAGAAACAGGATGCTGATCTCAATGATCAAAGCATCATAGGGCTCTGTTTGGATGTCTAACATGCTTTTTACACAGAATCTGCAAAAAAGTAATCATGATACAAATCTTCTTTGATTCAGAGAATACGTCAGTATCTTTAGCGCAAAATACACAACACTCAATTCCTCTATTTCGTTAAAGGTCCGATAATTCATCGAGAAATAAGCGCCGACAGAATTATCTTGGAGAAAAATAACCTAGAAATCTAGACTGACAAAAATTGGGTCTCGCTCGTAACGCCATGCAAAATCAATTGTTCATCCAAAAAAAACTTCCCTTCACCATCCGGTACCACAAAGACCCACAAAACTAGTAAATTGAAGGAAGTCTGCTAGTGGCTAGATCAATCACAGGACAGCGGACACAACACATGATCTGGCGAGGGAGCCGAGAGGTCAAAGAATGTCAGGCGGGTTTCTTCACTAGCTTGATCATCGTAATGTCAAATACATAGCTTCAGATGTGCAAATCTACATCTATTGATTAGATCTGAGACACTGATTGTAACTTCGGGGTCTGCTGGTATTTTCCAGAGCTTTCATAGTCTTGTTTAATCGACAGCTGTGAAGAGACAATTCGATGCATGGCACAGATTGAAGACGGAACTCATTTCAAGACTCAATTGAACCGATCTCTCCGATATCAGTTCCTTGAATGTTTCTTGATGTGATCCCATTCAGAACCATATTTGCACCAGGAACAAATTGCCATCCCATTTCGAGACCAAATTTCGATTATGGGGCAGAAACACTCCAGAAGCCCCGTGAAAATGCGTGTTGCAAATTTTGAATGGCGCAAAGGCCGTTTTCGATTGACAGTTTGCAGATTCCAAGACGGTTGAAGGGGGAGGAGATAGCTTAATATTAGTGATTATCTTTTCGTTTTGAACGCAATGCAAAGACCCGAACTAAAGGCTTCACTGACAATAATTCTGTTATCATCGAAATCGAGATGGTCGAAAGATGCCGAATAGGGATTTCCAATAGAGATAGCTGAACCAGAGATACCTCTTTTTCATCGAGAGATATGCATAACTGAAAGCGAGGGAGATTTCGATGCTCACGACCTTTGTGATATAAATTTTTGGGTCACCATAAAATAATAGGTCGAAATAACAATTGCTGAGACATGTGAAAAAACTTTAATTGAACAACTAGAAACCGTCGAAAACAACAGAGCATATCACTCCTTCACGAGGTTTGCAAGCGTTCCTACCAGATCTGCAAATAGTACCTGAAAAAGCCCCGCGAGTAGATTTCGAACATTCTACGCACTCAAACTCTTGAGAGGTAACGTGCTTTGATATCGAGACGAGAATGACTCTGGTCATCTCTTCTAAATAGAAGTACCAAGACGAAACTCAATATTGAAGCAAAGGACATGAGGCGTAAGTATGCGTAGACCTGTTGAGTACTTTTGGAAGGCTCACCAAACACTACTCGCGCCGCAAAATTTGTGCGTTTTTGTTTTCGGCATCCACATCGTTGGAAACCCTGTAGAGAAGTACGATATATGCAACAACAATCATCTACTCAATAAGCCAGCCTGTGAGAGCTAGCGTCAACATTGAAGCTCGTCTTGTAAATAGCCAGAATTTCTCGATACCGTTCAAAAGCCATCTAAATTACAAACCCTTCCGTAGACATCTTTTGAGATCAGTAACGTGTGAGTTACAATTAGTGATAAAAGCTTCATTGTGATAAACGTAAATCATAAAAGCCAGTTGAATAGAAATAAAAGTGACCATGGCATTTATGTGAGCAAGCTGATATGCATTGGACAAATGACCTTGCTCCACGTTTTCAAGATGGTGCCTCGGTTGCTTAGTCATCGGGAACTCGCTGGTGGTGGGACGAAGATGCGTTGCATACCTACCAAAAACCCCTCAGAACTCTAACCCAAGATCAACTTTCGACAATCAAATTGGGATTCCGACGAAGAATATTGATTTTTTGATGAGTTATCGGAATTCTAAAGGAGAGAAGCTATCGTTCACATTGAGCAGCCGTAGGTCTTGAGCAATCAATCGCAATGAATTATTCCCTTTCCCTCTACACCATCGATTGCTATCACCTAGCAATGCACAAACAATACTGTCCACAGTATTCCACGATTGAATTCCCTCTTCTGTAGAGGAAGAACTCACAAGAAGAAAGACGTGCGAAGCCACACCGTTATCGGACTACAAGATACACTTGATTCCATGTGTCAACGAAATAATCATATCAAAAGGAAACTTTTCCTAGGACATCGCCGCCATTCGCGCAATATACGTTTGAGTTCTTCGTGGGTCCATCAACGCCGATGAAGGATAGACACGAACGAGGATCCACCATCCCCGAGCTGCCGTTTTCGAACGTCCTCTACGGATCACATGAAATTGCGAGATAAGGTATTGCGACATATGCCTAGCTTCCGGCACTTGAATGTAGTTCATCATGGGGATATCATTGGCGCATATTGGCAAAAGCGCCACCTTCACCTTCCTATGTAAGCAAAATCCTCCGCCAAATGTTCAAGCAATTACTTGGCACTTGGTCCCAGTATAAATACGATGCTTATCCAGCATTGGCACATTTCGCCAAGGTCCCTTAAGACATTCCCCTTCCTGATGTAGGTTAGCGAAGAAGCTTATCCGACATTACACCACCTCGGCAAATGTCTCGTCCAGCCACTCACAGCGCTCGTTGCTTTTTTCTTCAAGAAAGGTTCTAGATATCTATAACAAATCAACAAGACACATTGGACAGTCCGTGTACCAGTGATATCTTGATTAGATCGAGTTGCTATATATGGGAAGGATCTTTGCAGCCAAGAGATGATAATGCGACTTTGTGCATTAAACCGTCTTAGCTTTGACCCTCTTCGTCGCTCATATCAATTGGATGAGGCTGGTCGACGTGGACACACGTGAAGACATTGCCGGTCGTAGGTCAGTTTGCATCGTGAAGAACCTGGTGATCAAGATATTACAGTTTATGAAATGGGAGGGTTTTAAACTTACCTGCCTCATCTGGCAGATTGTTATCATTTGACAATGGAGAGGGAATCAGTACTTATAGTCCTGCACTTTCGCTCTCCATTGAAAGAACATCCTCCCAGTCAAGTCTTAATTCAGATCAATACTCCAAAGATCTCAACATGATTTCCAAGATTCTCCCAGTCGCCGCTCTCGCTGGTGCAGCTATGGCTGCTACCAGTTGCCCTCTCTCAGTTGAGATTGCTGGCACTGCCGATCATGTTGCTCAAGTCGCAATCACCAACACTGGTGCCGAGACCCTCACTCTCTTCAAGGGTAACACCGTCTTGAGTGAACACGCTACTTTGGACGTCGTAGCTGCTACAGGTATGTTCAGCTCCTGAATTAGAATGGCAATCTCCCTTGGAATTGAAACTGACTGTCTACAGCTGATAAGGATCTTGAATTCAAGGGAACTTATGTCAACTATAAGCGTACCGGCCTTGCTCCTGAAATGTTCCAAACTCTTCAACCTGGCGAGACTGTCACAGCTTCTCTCAACGTAGCCAAGACCTACAATCTTGAAGGTCTTGAGACTGTTGATGTTACCGCTATCCAAGGTTTCAGATATGTCATTGGAGAACGTGCTCCATCTGCTTTGAGCCAAACTACTCTTTGCGACGCTGTCACCTCCAACACTGTGACTATTACCCCTGATCAAAGCAAGGTTGCATCGTAAGTACCATCACCGCCCGAAGCCGATAGTGGTTGCTAACTTTTCCTCCAAGTGATCTTGTCAGCAGAGATGAGCCATTCCACTCACGTATCTCAAAGCGTGCCATTACCTACAGCAGTTGCAGCACCTCTCAAACCAGCGGCCTTAAGACTTCAGTCGCTGATGCCATCACATTGGCTACCAATGCTTACACTGCCGCTGGTACTGGCGCCGATTACTTTACCACCTGGTTCAAGTCTACCTCCGAGGAGAGCGCCGTTCGTGCCATCTACAATGATGTCAAGAACGTTCAAACCACAGGCCCAAAGATCTCTTGCACAGACACCTACGGAGATTGCTCTGACGGAAGTGCCTTGCTCTACACAGTTCCCAGCGCCAACGTCATTGTTCCTTGCCCAAACAATGGATTCTATGGCTTTCCTGAGTACTCAACTACTTGCGCGGATTTCGATTATGACCGTGCCGGAAGCATCTTGCACGAGATGACTCACTTGTACGGTACCGAGGATTGGGCTTATGGACCAACCGCTGCTAAGGCTTTGTCTGCTGCTCACGCTGCCAACAACGCCGATACCTACGAGATGTATGCTGGATCCGTCAGACTCGGTGGATGCACTGGTTAAATTCCCTCAGATACTGAGTGGGATGTTGAATTTGTTGGAGTGATGGAGTGATTGAAATGGCTGGTTCGATAAGAGCCTTTACGATTTGCAAAGAGAAGGGCCTTTATGAATCCCCAGGCCTTCTTTGATATTTGTTGTTGTAGTTACTTGCAGCGAAATTTGAAAGATAATAGTACATATGTTTGCCTCGTTGATCATTTTTCTCTATTTTTAGATTCAGAAGTGAATTCTAAGTTTGTCGTGTCATTCAAATCAGCTGTGACATTTTTTGAGGGGTGAGTCACTAAATGGGCCGAATTATATTGACCTTCGCCAGTGCAGACTACTTGGTCGTTGATATTCGGTCATTGCATACTCATTTATCACACATAAACACATTCATATCAAAGCGTAAGTCTTGAATAATCTCAAAAATCTCAAACACAATACTCAAAACATCTTTGCTGATACTGTCATCTCCCACAGAACGCCAACTACTTAACAAAGTAGCATTCTACACGTACGCGCCTAAATTCCCCATTTAATCGTAGGTCTTTGGCGTTCCGTATGTAATGATCTCTAGGCTAACACCATCGTTAGAAAATGCAGTTCAAACCTCGCCCGGCCCGCATATTTTCCCCCTTTATCATCCTCTTGACGATATCCAGCATATTTCCACCTCTCGCCCTCGCTACAAACTATCCTCGCAAAGGAGAAAACCACAAATGGCCAGACGTCTCACAAGATCTACCCATCCAGCCCCAGACCTGCAATACGACCTCCATGACCACCGGTCAGTGTACCCTCACAAACCTCATGGCTGTTCCTGTGTCCATCGGAAAGACTAGAAATCAAAGATCCAGTTTAATTATCTACGACTCGAAATGCAATGAGATAGGACGCCAAGATGACGTTATTCAAAATGATAAAGATATTGCGATTCATTCGACTCTTCCGGAGATGGTCACTATTAGAGAATCGGAAATGGGGGCGGGAAAATTCATTACGTTTAAATATTCGAGCCACACGGGCACCAAAGATGACTTTCTTTGCTATAGTACCGGATGGGATGCTCATCATCAGCAAATTAAAGCTTGTTCTGCGCCGTTCAATTGCACGGCTGCTGCAGATTCTGCTGCAACCGTTAACAGCTTGGACTTGGATGTTCTCTTGATAGGTGTACTAGCTTTGGTCGTAGCTGTTACGAGCTGATGGGTGGCAGGTTGAAAAGAGAGCCCATAGGAGGGAGGGGGGAATGTATTTTATATTATCCGTTGCTTTCGAACATTCTGGTATCTTGGTTAATTTCAGGGATGAAATTCTTACCCTATTGCTTATCTACCTAGGAAATGATTTTGAATGTGGATATGAATACCTACTAGGTACCTATATTGAAGATGGCTAGAAGTTGAGTACCCAGATATCGTGGTCTCGTTACGAGAAAAGCCAATCTTATTTGAGGTAAATCTCCTTCACATTGATCGTTCACCATCTCCTGTTATCTCATCCCATCCCATCTCGTATTATCAACCAGCCCTTAGAAATAGAAAAACAACCACGAAATGCTCCTAATCAACCAAAATATCACAGATGAATAACCAATATCATACATACTCTTACCAAAACCGCATTCTCTATTCCAATGCATCGCTCAAAACCTTTCAAACTCTTTCCAAACCTCACGATCACTTGACCGCACGTGTCATCTCCAATCAAGTGGTCGATGTGCTTGCTCTTTCCCATTTTGGCACTTTCCAATTGCTCGCATTTCACTAGCGAGATTTCCCTTTCACCTTTACTTCTCGTCTGATTTTTCTTCTTCTACTTTCTTTTCTCAATCATACTCGGATTGTCATCTCTGAGTGGGAGAGTATATCTTCATTTCATCGATTTTGTCAGTTATCTCGTGTGTTTTCATCTGGATTTCGTGTATTTTAATCATATTTTTCTTCTAAGAGACGAGAATTATTCTCACTTGATCTTCTTTCATTTACTCAGGACTCGACAGTTTTACTTTGTCATCACTCTATCTTCTCCGATTGAATATTCTTCTTTACATTTATCGATTCTGGTGCCATTCAATCTTCTCGGCTGATTTCGCCAAAACGTAAAGCGTCTTCTATATTGACATCATCTTACTTTTTCGGATCTTTAGTAGGTAAGCATTTGTGCTTGGAGACTTTGATTATTTTTGGGTCCTCGACATTCGTCAGGCTATTTGTCGCTCTTTGTTCGGCTTCATTTTCAAGGTTTGCTGCTGACCGGATGTTAGTCATAAAATCAGCAGCCATGAAGTCTGAAGCTTCTTCTGAAATTGAGCAGGAAGCTACTGATGGCACAGTTGATCTAAGACCTGTACATGTGCCCCGTGGATCTTGTAGCATGATTGCGTCGTCCTCTTCCTCAGCCACAACGTCTGCGACTACTTCTGGAGTCAAGCGTAAAGCTTCACCAGATATGTCCGACGATATTTGGGCAGTAACTCCTCGAAAAAATCATCTACACGTCGCAACTACAGGTACTCCGTCAACGATACGCTCAAGGGACTCGGAGTTCTTTTCAGATTTGAGTGATAATTGTATTGCCACCTCGGACACATCTGGCGAGAGAATTGAGAGTTGCAATTCTTACGCCGTAAACATCGGTGATTCAAGAGTGAATGTACCCAGCTCCCGACAGAGACCTACAGTTGAGTTATACATCAAGTAAGTACTCTTCACACATGCGGCGATGACTCCAGATACTAATGAAGTATGTACAAATAGGATGGTGGTGAGCCCAAAAGTTAACATAGTTGTTGGTCCTGAGAAGAAATCATTTGAGCTACCAAAAGATCTCCTCGCATACTATTCTCCGGTCTTCGATAGATCCTTCAATGGAAACTTCATAGAAGGTCAGACACAAACAATGGAATTGCCAGAAGATACTGTGAAAGATTTCGAAGTTCTGATAGAGTACGTTTTCCATCACGGTGTCGGCGACAAACTCTCCATCTTGAAGCATAGGCGACATGCAGCTGAACATTGCATTTCCTTCTTAAAGTACGCGGATAAGTACGACCTTGGAGATATAAGTACTTTGGTATACGACGCTCTTCGACCGGCCTTGATAGAGGGTGGTGCATCGGCTTTTGAACCTAGCTTCATAGAAGTTGTTTTCTCACTCACAGAAGATGGCAATTGCTTACGAGCACTGATGGCCGACGCCGCACTGTCATTCCAAGGGGATACTTTGGAAAAATCTCCAAACTTTTTCGTGATCAATTTCGAAAAGCAGGAGGCTGAAGTGGAGGGCTTCACATCTGCTCTTTATCGCCAACTCAAAAAATCTGTTTCCTCTGGTTATTGGGCTCCCTTTTACTCGAATAAACTTAAAAATTTCGATTAAATTTGATGAGAGACAGATATGAAGAGCAGCACTGGTGTTAAGACATCAGTGTTGTAATTAGTATACGATAGTATTTCTGTGACTGATATAAAGAGTATAATACACACACTAGTATATATAATAACCAATCATATCCACGTCCATACGTATCATACAAACAGAGCTATATTGAAGATATACTAAAATATAGGAATTTATATATTTTGATTGACTTTAAATCTAATAAGGAAAGAGATCATTCAAAATATATAATATTTGAATAGAAATATATAAATTCCCATATTTCGGTATATTATTAGTAATATTCAATATTATTGAAATATGGAATACTTTCAGTAATATATAATTCAATAATAATTATTAAAATATTATCATAAATATCAATATGTACCATTAAAGTAGGGTGTAACTGAAATACGGAAAATACTAATTACAACACTATAAGATATAGCCTTTTTGCTTCTAGGTTGATGGGAGTCAGTATAAGAATTTCGTGTGCTCCATTACTCATTTTTCTCCTTGCTTGAAGAGGGTAATGACAATGAGTTCAGTCGTCGCAAGGGATCAGAGTATCTGAGGGATTGTGTATTCTGAACCCTTTAAAAGTCGAGAGATATCTATCTGATCACCATTTACAGAGCATGCTTAGCTAAATCTTTGCATTTGCCCAGCCCAACAAACAGTTTCATCAAACACATTATAAATCTTCCCTACTATTGAGAAATCTGTGAGACATAAATCACCGTCACTTTCCAATGTTCTTTCAGTCTGAATGATTTCAAAGACCCAATTTAACCCGCATTCACATCGCTTGGAATTGTTGATCGGAAGTCACACTGAGAAAGTTTTGAGAAACAAATTACACGCCTCTCTGCCCTTAGATATCCATGTTCTTTCGAATTCTTCAACCAATGAAATGTGTTTTTATCCTTTCTCACCACCCTATCCTCTGTAACCCATTTCTCCCTTCACATTTTCCTTCCCCTCCCAATCTTCACCTCTCTATCCATCTTTCAATACATCGTGATGGATTATCCATAACCCATAATCCCAAAACCCGTAGTATTAATGGTAATGGTAATGGTAATGATAATTAATAGTATCACACTCCTCCCACATTAAGAAGTAAGTAGCATACATATCAAGTTTGAGGCGCAGAGTGGTGAAGAGAGGTGGAGAGAGGTAGATAATAGTATAGTATAATATAAGGTTATAGAAGACAGAAGATAGAAAATAGAAAATAGAAAATAGAAGATAGAAGAATTATGAATTGTGAAAAGGTAACCTTAATCGGGATTATTGAATGTGATGAAGTTGTGAAGTTGTGAAGGAAAAGAAAAGGAAAAGAAGAAATGAGGAATGAGGAATGAGGAATGAGAAATGAGGAATGAGGAATGAGGAATACTCTTCGTCTTGATTTCGGACTTCGGACTTCGGACTTTGGACTTTGGACTTTGGGGATGATGTAGAAAGGGAGAGGGAGAGAGGTAGATGAGTAAATATGCAGGTACTCCGGCTGCAATTAATAGGTTGTGTGGGATGTTGTGATGGGTTAGAGAAGGGGAGTTTGGGATTGGGGGAGTACCTACCTAGTAAGATTACTTTATTGTGGATAGTTATCTGCCCGCCTAGAACTCTCTAGAGAAAGGAATGGGCGCTGTGGAAGCATCGATAGATTAATCACTCATAAAATGGTAGATTACGCATGAGTCTGCAAAGTCAAAATTTATGTTATTTGCCTAATTACTCGCTCGCCGTCATAGTTTTGTTCATGCGAGAATGTATGCACAAGATCATATACAAGTACCAAATGCCCTCAAACTCAGGCAAGCACTCTCTCCTTTCTGTGGCAATCTCTCTTCCATTCCTCCATCCACTTCTTCACGAATGTAATCTCCTGGCTCTGTACTTTCTTAATTGTCTTCGAAGGAAGGCTCTTGGTAGTCTCATTTGCAAAAAGTCCATTTTCGTCCCAATGATGTACTGCTCCTTCAATCAAAATGAAAGGTTGCTCAATAGTAGAGGTCCGATTCTGTGCCGTAGTATTGAAAGGTGAAGCGTGAGGAGTAGCCGGACGCCAAACATCTTGTTCGCCATCTATATATGCTAGTCTTGGGTAAGTGAGATTGAATCCACCGTATTTGTTTATATTTTCGACAGCTGGGGGAGTTGTAATGTTGAAGGATTCAGCACAGATGATGGAAAGGTAGGGAAGATCAATTGTGCGGGAGAGGAGAGGGAGTTGATTTGCGGGGACAGAAGCACCGTTTTGGAGGTATCCCCATTCGGTACAGTATTGGTAGGGCCACAGACGCCAGTCTTGGGACGCGTCGTCTTGCGCGTAGTAAGTAGAGTTGTGGGTCGAGTAGCAAGAATCTTGGTTTGGGGAACAATCACCGAAATTGGTGGCAGTATAATCTGGGAGTTAGTTAGTATGTGCAGGTGATACGAACAAGATTTGGGGCGAAGTTTCTTACCACTTAACCAACCAATCCAATTCAAATATGGAATTGTCAAGCTGTTGAGTTGAGAACCATAACCACCCTTTGTGAGCAACTTCTGAACTTCCGTTGTAGAGCTATTCAAACTTGGCCAAAGAAGCTTTTTACTCGTAACGTTGCCACAATAGTAATCGAAGTATGGTGTTCCTTCAACTTCTGGATCCCAATTTTTGCTTTGCCATTCCCACATTCCGTACATGACTACCGACATGAAATCATTGGAATAGGTAACATTTGGAAGTCCCCAGACGGATTTAAGTTCTTGGACTAGAGCGGTATCGTTTTCTTGACCAATGACAATGTTATCCATAGAATTGGTGATGAGTTGGGTATTCTTGACACATTTTTGATCGGCATATACGCGGATAGGCTCAAAGTAATCCCAATAATCGTAGATAGCTTCAACGACACCACTGGAAGAGATTGTTCCTAATCACATGTTAGTCACATTATCCTTTTTCTTTAAACTTTAGGAAAGGAAATAACCTACCCCAGAAAGTGTCAGGATATAACTTTCTCAAGAAAGCATTGAAGGCACCAGCATAAGAACCTCCATACCCAATGTAAGCCACATTTGGTGCAGTCAAATTATGATCTTCCAATCCCGGAAAGACAATGTTCCTAGCAAAATAAACCTCATCCATCAATGCCTGTTCGGTAGTCAAGAATCTCAAATTCTCAGTTGAGAAATCCGGGGTTGGAATACTTTGGCCATAATAACGATGTTCAAGCACGACACCAATACCATGTGTCGCAACAGCCAATTGATGTAATATACCTTTCTGTAAGAATGGTAATCGTCCTTCGGCATCTGTTTCTCCTGATTGGAGAACGATTACTGGACCGCCAGGTTTATAATAGGTGGCGTCGAACCAATAGCGGAGTGGGAAGGTTCCATTGCTGTGAGGTTCATAGCGAGATTCATTGTGAAAATAATCAATTGGGACGGTGAGATTGTAAGTTGGGTAGAGTAGTGAGGGATCAACGTCGTCGCGCTTGGCTAGTTCTAGTTCTCGACGGGAAATGGTAGTTCTCTAGTTGTGGGTATTAGCTTGGAGTTATGTGGATGTGAGGGACTAGATCAGGCGTGTGAAAAGGAGGAATGTGAAGAGTAGAAGGGAACTTACGCTTAGTTTCCGATCAACACCATTTGGGTATAATTGATGTGAGAATACACATTGAAAGAAGGCGAAAATCGCACAAACTGTATAGAATGTGGAAAGCATGGTTGTAAATTCTTTGGTGTTGTCTCTGGTGGATTTTTGGTCCTCGAGGGTTTATTTATCTAAAAACCCGATGGGATCCTAAGTTTCCTAATACGGCGAAAACACCTTGACGGGCTTTGCTGTACATGATGTCAGTTCAGCCGTAGAGTTTGAATGAAATCGCCGTTTCTCTTAAATTTGGAGACTGCCGTATTCCAAGGCCATCATACTTTCCTATTAACACGGTGGCAGTGAAGGGGACCTCGGGAGGATGGAATCGAATTGAAGGTGGCAGGGTAATTGATGAACAGCGACAAAGAGAGTGAGTGGCTAAGGTTACATAAACATCCATAAGAGAAAGTAAATACTAGGTACATACCCGACCACGGAAATCTACTGACTTCTTCCAACTCAAGTCAGTTAATTTCAATCGATTTCAATTGAGTCCCTCTCTCTCTCAAATTCCGTCTACTTCCAACATCCTCACAAATGGCGACATCATCTCTCTTTATATCATCCCTCTTTATATCATCCCTCTTTATATCATCCATACCTACCCTAGCCCGAGCTATCCATGTCCATCTCCATCAGTTATAAGCAAATGGAAGTAAGATGTTCACAGATGGGTTCCAGATCAAGAAGGTGTCCACCATCGTATCACACTGGCGTGCCGATTAATTCAAGCAGAGACAAATGAAGTACGAAGTCGTACGAATGAGGTACTTTCCTGTACTTTCCTGTACTTTCCTGTTATCGGCTCAATCTAGGTTTGCATCATCAAAGTGGAGATGATCTTATCGTGGAATGAATGATAATTGGATTGACATCACATATTGCCATGATATTGGCTGTGACTTTGGGACCTTCTTCTTTGAGAATGGGTTCCGAGATGGTTCCTGGGCTTGTGGCTCGTGTAGATGTGCATTGAATGCGTACAGACAGACGAGACAGAGTATAATATCACCCAGGCACTACTCTGTAGGTAATCAGTGAGGAGAAAGTGGTGAATGGGTCGATGGATAAATCAGAGGTTGGGATATGCTTTTGAGCTCCACTTTGATGGACGGGAGTGGTTATGATTGGTGTGTATTTCCTACATCTATCGATTGGTCAACTCTTGTTTCTTCTCTTGAAATATTTTGATACTTTACAGCAGAGCAGCAATATCAAAGAATCCGGAAACTTCTGATGAGCGTTGATTCAATATTCGCTCATGGGTCTCATTATACTACTAGGTAATGATTATCCCCTCGAACCGTTTCACCACATATTCCACAACGTTACCTCACAATTC